GAGAGAGAGAGAGATGCGGGAGTTACTTTTATTTATACATCGAAAAAAGCACACGCCTTGTCATCCAGGCATCCTCGTTCCTCTGTCCAGATTTGTTGGCTGCCGATCCTCTCGCAGTTTTCTCGCATGGGCACACCTCAAGAGGAAACCTGGCTCTCGTCGCGACAGCGAGAGGCGAGCCACTTCGCAGCTGCATGGTCGCCCACGGCGCAGGGTTCATTTAACTCCGCAAACATACAACTCTTTAACATTGTGTCGCGCTAAACGTCCCACTGCCAGTGTCCCGCACTAATGGACACTGACAAATGGTCCCCCGAAAGAATCCCGCGCGCGAAATCTCTCTCGTGGCCTCTCCTTTCGCTCGTCTTCGTCCGACGAGGCGGTTGCCAACTGCATAATACCGCGAGAGGAGACACTCGGCGCTTTGTAAATTACTCGACTGGCAATGGTACAAGAGCCTCGTTGCCTTGTGCGTTTCGCGTGTTTGCGATCGCTTCTCGTTTCTCGAGGTAAGATAGAGATTAGAAAAAAGAAAAGAAACAGTTTTACGTTACGCTTGGGGGTGGCCTGTCCGCGGACACGCAGGCGCACGTGTTATCGCCGTGTCTATTAATATTCTTGTTGTGGAGGAACGTGGCGTAATAAATGGGACGTTATGTCGCGACAATGAAAGCGATGCTACCGAAGCTCGCGAGATACAGAACCGTAGATAAAAGGAGAAGGAATTCTACACGATGTCGGGTCCTCCCTTCGTGTGTTCGGCTCGCGCCGACTCATCCTCCTTTGAGGTTCCAACGCCTCCTGCACACACGATTCTCATCTGTACGTGTACACACACGTAGATATATCCACGTGTACACACATACACCCGTCCCCACATCCACACACATACACATACACACAAACGGCAGCTCCACGCGAGCAGCAACAGGCTGTCGCTTTTTACTCTCCTCCTCCGGGATCTCGGCATCGTCGTTTCTCGTTCTCTCCTCCTCCTGGACGATGGATCATTTTATTGCGCTCGTGCTCCCGGAAACGGAAACCCGATGGTCGTCGGATACATCGTACCAGTCCGGTTATCACGTTCTCTCTTTCTTTCTCGATTTGTTCTCAATTTGGCGACGTTTCGGCGAAGCTGCGTCGACCAGCTACACGTTTGTCCGAAAGAAAAACCGCTGGCGACGAAATCGACTTCAAACGCGCCGAGCGTGAGGTTTGCCCATTCAGAAAGCGGAAGAGACGATCCGAAGAGTCAAGTGGGCCGTATGGATCATATCGATGCACGTTCTCTCCATCTTGAAAAGCTTGACTCGCCCGTTACCAAAGAGGGTAAAAGATGCCGCGAGGAGAAACGAGTGAAAGAGGAGATCTTACATAATTTCTCCTGGAAGCAAGGATATTTAAATGTAATTTCTTGGTTTCTTGAAGATTAGAATTTTTTAAGTTTCTCTGCATATATTTTTATGTAATTTTATGTGATATTTTTAGAATTACATAATCTGCGACGGTGTGTTGCATAAATTTATGCAGAAATAATGAATATTATTTTATATCGAATTGTAAAATTTTGTAAATATTTTATTATTTGGCAAGAGAACAGATTTTTTTTTATTTAAACTCTGCTTTTAAAGATCAAAAGAATTTTGTATTTATCGTGCACAATTTTAGAGATATTAATTCACAATTTTATTTTATTTAAAATATTAGCTTATATTACATTCGCTATATAAAAATATTACTTTTAAATCATACATCGCAAAGTTAATTGCTTCGTTCTACAAATTCGAAATCGTACTTCTCGAGCGGAACAAAAGCCGCTTTTTTCTCACCCGCGTCTGGTGCGCCGGTCGCCGGAATATAGATGTTAATATTTGTCTCCTGATTCTCACCTAAGCAGGTGTTAGGCATAAGCGCGCTATTGTTAGATATAAAATCGCCCACGCGCCTCAAATCTCCGATCTGTAGATCTTCCGTGCCATCGCATACGTTCCTCGGCTCGGCATAATTTTACGTAATAGTCCGCTGACGCGTGTGTATATCTTTGTGTCGTGTGCGATATTATTTAATCACATCCGAAACGTACATGCATGGAAAAAAGATAGACATATTGGAATACTTCCACAAATCTGTTATATTTTCCATCTATCCGAATACTTGCAACGAAATGTAACTTTTTTTAAATTTTTCAAAGAATTTTTGATTTTTATAAAATAAGTAAAATTCTCGCATCTGCCCACGCGTCTGTTCTTTTTATCAATAGTATTTTCCCGATTCCCTCCTTTTCGACGACCATCGATCGAAATGTAACTTTTGTGTTTGTCTGTTATATTGTCTATTATTGCCGAGGCCGTTTTTGCGTGACCGTATTAAAAACTCCTTGAGACTCTCCGCTTTTCCAATAGCGAGATTTTTCAGCACGCGCGCGTTTTTAGTCCGTGCCGTCAACGCAAGAGAAGAAAAAAGTCATACAAAGGACTATCCGAGCGACCGTCAAATTTATATCGGCCTCGTGGATTTCGAAAATCGCTCGCTCCCCCTTTCACCCTCATCGGGCAGATGTAGGTATGCTTCGTCGGTCAAACTTAATAATGTTTATGCAACGCGTGTGTGCAGGCAGCATTCCGCTTTTTTTTCCGATTCCGGCCGGTGGATTTTGAGGGTCCTTTATTACGTTGCTTTTTTTTCGCGGAGACGGGGCATTCGCGGGATTAAGGCGCGAGTTAAGCAGGATTTCTTCGAGCAGCGAAAGATATAACAAGGGCGCATATACGGCCGGGATTAGATAACATAATTGTAATAAATGGGTATTCGAGTAATGTAAATTGCTCGAGACTTTAATTACGTAGAGGAGAAAGGGAGAGGAAGAGATTAACAAAAGAGAATATCGGATTTTTCAGCCGGTAGGAGTATAACAGCATAAGGAATTCAAAATGGTGCTTAACTCGTAACTCATTATCTTTCCACCAATCCTTTTGACTCTTTTTCTCATCGACCCTACCGCGCACGACCAATCGAAACGCTCTGATTTATTTAACCCTTCTCGTAACGCCGGCTCTTGCCTACGCTTTCCAACCCTTTGCAGCACCTGCTCAGAGTAGACTGACGTAATTGCGTGTACCAGACAGGCTTTCAGGGATTGGTGAAAAACTCGAGAAGGGGCGTGGCGCCTTCACCCTTTATCGTACAAGACAGTATCTGTCACCTGCGATATGGCTGCATGGCTTTGTTACACGAGAAGAGATAATTTTATGTTAATCTTCATCTAAAAATTTTAAAAATTAGAAAGCTGCAATAAATTCAAATGCTGCAAACATCGTCATTGACATACTTGCAAATCTGACAGCAAATTTAATATAAGAACAAACGACGAAAGATATTTATTTAATCAAAGGATTATATGAGAATTTTCTTAGCAAAATTCGAAAATATTTAAGCTCGGTGACATTTATGTACTTTTATATTATTTTGTATTAGCACAGTTAATTCCTGACCTACCTTTCCTAAATAAATACGAGTTAGACATTGAATGGCAATGAAAATATTTCGGTAAACGTAAACACGAAAGAGATACGGCGAGACGGAATTGTCTTGGCATTGCGACAAATGCGCGTGTTCACGCGAATATCGCGCGGATACGTCTCTCCTTCGCCGTGTAATTTTACGAGCGGCCTCTCTCGTCGTCTCTCATTTTTCCCGAAGATATTAACGTTTGCCAGACGAGAAGCTATGTCGTAACTACCTAAACCTCGGGCGGCGCCCGGGTAAATGGTGCTTCAAAAAGTTTTTGGTATCGCGTTTACGGAGTTTAAAGCGCGGGGCGCATGATTAATGATGTCTAGATAATCGCGACTGAGCCACTGGATCTAAGAAGGCCTTTAAAATAATCCCCATAAAATTACGCCCTAATGCCGCGACCATTAATCCTCCGCCTTATCTTCCAAGGCGTAGGCGCCTACGAAGCTCAACCGACTGTCGAGCTCGCGCGTAAATGCGAAAGCAGAATAGAGATTAGCGATTTAATCTAAACGGAACCGCGGCGATTTTCCCTCCTCGTACTTCAGAGTGGATCAATCAATCAATCGATCGATCGCTCGATCTCTCGACCGGTCAGCCTTAACGCTCGGTTGCTCACGTATGTAACCCGTCCTTTCTCATTTTATTCAATACACAGGCACCCCAGACCGTCTTTCTCCATAAAAGATAACGATATTGGAAAAAATTTATTTTTTTCCAATATTATTTTCCAATTTTATCTTTTATGATTTCATAGGTATCAAGGTGGTATCGAAAAAAGAATCTCATGAATTATCTTGATTTTCGTCGATGTGATAATTACGTTTTCGTAAGATACCATATGGCGACGACACGGAGAAGCTCAGCTTTTAAATACCACTCCATCGTGTTCTCGATGCAATCGATTTTGCGCGCGCGCGCACATTGCGCTGCTCCGAGGGTCGGGGTCAAATCTCTCTCTTTCTCCAACAGACTTGTGTCCCCGGTATACCAAAGTTTTTCCCTCCCTTACCCTCCGCGCGCATTTAAGGCCGGCGGCGCTGCCGGAATTAATTATTTAGGGGACAGAAATGGCACCCCTGTCCACCCCCTCGATTCTTTCCGTCGTCTCCCTTCTGCCGTTCGCGTTTCCCGAGCTATCCGGATCGTGGCTCGAGCCTAACCCGAGGGCGAAGATATAATTATGGGCGGTGGGAGGGCTTCAAGTATTCATGTTTTCATTACGGCGCGGGCCTTCTACTAGCGCACCCCCGCGCGAGAGAGGAAAAAGGGATTCTTTTCTTTAAAAATAACGCTCTCCTTCATCGCTCATCTCCCAGCTATTCTTTTCTCGCTTAGCTTCACGCTTTCTGTCGCTCGTGTCGCGTCCTTGTATCGCCTGTTCGATGCATGATATATAATTCCGATTCTTTATCAACCACACAGAAGTTAACAACCTTTTCTGTTTTGATAAGAAAAACATCCAAATATTCGAAGCATCCAAGTATTTTAATATAATTAAAAGCATTCCGATTACAACGCAAAAGATAATAGCAACTTTTTTAGTAATCTCTTCCTCTATTGTATCTTATCTTCTTTCATCGTATCTAAAAATGGCCAGGTCAAAAAATAACTCTCGGTGGTTAGAAAGTGGACCATTTTTCGGCAGATAATTTCTGTCACGCCAAGGATGAACGCGCCCCGACCCGGAACAAGGTAGACGCGGAGGCTCTTCTCTGCCCGAGTGTTTTTGCTTAGTCCGTTATCTGTTCTTTTGTTCCAACGTTCTCGCACCCTTTGTCCGGATTCTCCCTTTTGTAACTTGCGAGATCCCTCGGCATTGTCTTCCGTAAAAAGAACTTCTTCGCAAAAATGTCGCCGTCCCCGAATTAATCGACGGCGTTTTCCTTGGCGAGAGAGTTGGGCGGGAAGGAGATCGGCCATTAAAAATTCCTGAATCAGTAGCCCCTTACTCCTGATTAACGGCCAATCCACCCAGAGCGATCCCTCATCGAGA